GGGAGGGCGACACAGAGAGACACAGAGAGGGAACGGGAGAGACAGAGAGAGAGAGAGATGGAAGTGGTGAAAGGAGGGGTTGAACGAGTGAGCGATCGAGAGAGGAGGCAGTGTCGGGAGGAGAGGCGCATGGTGGCGGGATATTGTACGTGAGTGCATGCGTCCGCGGCCTCCCCATCCACCGCCTCGACCTGCTGATGTGCCTGGGCCCCAGATAGCGAATGATTGCAATCTCTGAGGTGCAATCTAGCTGGTGCAGTCTATGTGTCGCAGAGCAATGCAAACCAATGCGATTGCAATGCAAAGCAAAACGATTGTAACGCAAAGCGATGCAATGCAAAGCCACGCAAAGCAACGCAAGGCAATCCACACCAATGCAAAGCAATTCGAAGCAATGCTATTCAACGCTCTGCGACCGCAATGTGATCGCAATGCAAAGCAACATGCAGCAACGCGATTGCAATGCAAGCTATGCGATTGCTTGCCATTGAAGCCACTGTCACGCAATGCAGACTACAATGCAAAGCAACGCGACGCATTGCAGAGCAGAGCACGACATTGCAGAGCAATGGAAACCCATGCGATGCAGTGTCACGTGAGGCAAGGCAGTTCGAGACGATGCAGGGCCACTGGGAGCACTTGTAAAGCGATGCCCGGCTGCGCGACGCGAGTGGCGGCGACGGATTCGGGGGCGAAAAAGAGGGGCGTGATGACTGGGGGGGGGTGGATATCATGGCGTGGGCCATGATATTTCCCAAGATTTCATGGCGCCTCTTTGTATTTCATTGCGTCCCTGGCCCCCTCGCTGGGCCGCACACCTGCCGCCGGCCATGATTTGCACCCGCCCCCCCTCTTGGACACCCCCCTCTTGGCCGCTCCCGACGGATGGCGGCGACGGGTGGCCACAGCGCCGCCGGGGCGGCACCGGGGCCCCGATTGGGGGCGGCGGCGGACGGCGGCGGGGGGCCTGGGCGGGCGGGCACGGGCCGTGCAGGGCGGCCTGTGGAGCCCAGCTGCACCAGGCGAGAGTTTGGGAGCCTCTGAGGTGCAGGCACCGTGCGGCCAAGAGCAGCATCGGCAGCAGCCTCGTCCTCGTCCTCATCGTCGTCAGCGTCGTCCGCACCGTCACAATCGCCTGCATCATCACTATCATCAACACCATCATCACCATCATCCTCTCTCTCTCTCTCTCTCTCTTTCTTTCCCTCCCCCTTCCGTCCCAGGCAGGGGATCGCAGACGAATGGTGACGAGGCGGAAGGAGTAGCGGTGCTGGTGGTGAGAAGGGAGAGCAAAAGAATGAGGGAGGAGTGAGGTTGGGAGAGCTGGGAGAGCAAGGGGTCGAGGTTGATGATAATTTAGCAGTCTGGTGACAAAGGAGGGGATGGGGGCAGAGAGGGGAGAGCGCAAGCCAGGTTCGCTCGCGCCTTATCTGACGTATTATCCCTCCCTCCGATCCCCCCCCATGGCGCTGAGTTTTCTTCTATCCGCGGACGCGTGTAATAGCTGACCTGCGACTCACATAGGGAGACCACTTCGTTTTATGCGCAATGGGGAATGGGGAGCTGCGCGCACAGGAGAAGGAGGTGGCGGGTGAGCAGGAGAATGAGCGGGAGGAAGAGGATGAGAACGAACAGCAGGAGCAGGGACTAAGCAGAAGGACCGGGAGGGAACGGAGGACCAGGGGACGGCGGAGGAGAAGAAATGAGGGGAGCGATAATGCGGATTCAAACCAGTGGCCCGCGTTGGGGCGAGCCGAACAGAAGCAGCAGATACTGAAGTGGAGGGAGCGGGAGAAAGAGGAGGAACAGGGGACGGCGGAGGAGGAGAAATGATGGGGAGGGGACCCTAGTGAAGCAAGATTGGAATCCAGAACAGAGGCCCGCGCTGAAGCGAGAGCCCCAGTCTGAACGACGGGAGCCACGCACGGATCCGAAAATGAGGCCCCCGCTGCAGCGGGAGCCACTTTGAAACACCGCCGGAGAATTAGTTTGTAAAACGCCATAAGAGAAATCCCTTGCTGAACTTCGGCATGTGACAAAAAAACACGCAGAGGTGGTGGGAGATCTTCTGGTCAACTTCAGCGGAGGAGAGAAGAGACAGAGAGAGAGGTACTCATATTGCTTACTCGGGGAGGAGGAGGAGGAGGAGGAGGAGGAGGAGGAGTGTTGCAACCTTGCGGTTGCATTCGGGCGGCAGCCTGCTCGTTCCCCGTTCCTCCTCCCCCTCATGTCGCCTCCCTCCCGCCTCGCGCCCGCCTTCTGCCCAGCTTCTCCCTCCCACCTGTGCCGCCCCCCGTCCCCCCTTTTGCCTCCTGCGCCTCCTGCTGCTGCTGCTCTGCCCTCCTCGTACCCCTCCTCGCCATCGGTCCTCGAAGCTCGCCCCTTGATCCTCGAAGGCCAATCCTCGAAGCTCGACCCACATCGAACCTCAATCCTGGAATGACGATCCTCGAAGCTGGACCCTCGAAGCTCGATCCTCTATGATCCTCGAAGCTCCATCCTCGAAGCTCACCCATCACCGCTCACCCCTCTCCGTCTGCCTTCCGCCCCTCCCCCGCGGCAGGGCGCCAGCCGCGGTGTGGGCGCGATGGGGCGGGAAGGAGGGCGAGGCCCTCCTCCTCCTCCTCTCCCCTTCCTGCTGCTCCTCCACCTCCGCCTGTTGCTCCTCCTCCTGCCCCTCCTTGTCCTCCTTCTGCTCCTCAGCTCTTCCCGCCTCGGGAGGAGGATCGGGGTGGTGGAGGAGAGGAGCAGGTGGAGGAGCAGGCGGGGCTGGAAGAGGAGGATGAGCACCTCCTTCGCCTCCTCCGCCCTGGGGAGGCCGTTGGACGGTCGGACGGCTCGGGGGGAAGGCGACGCCGACCCTCCTTCTCTTCAAACAGAAAACACGGGGACCTTGGCGGGGGCATTCTCCTACCAGGCCTTGCAAGCCTTCCCCTCCAGTGCCCGGGCGGAGGCCCCTCGCTCTTGGGCCATACACACCTCCCCGAGCTGCGGCGCGCGTCCGTCGCGGCCCCTGCGCGCCTTCCCGGCCGCAGGTCGTGCTGGAGGGCATCGCGGGTTTTACGCCGCAGCTTGCCCAGGAGAACGCGGCCCGCAGGTCGTCGTCGTTGTAGTCGTCGGCGTCGTCGTCGTCGTTGCCGTCGTCGTCTTCGTCGTCGTCGTCACTGTCGTGGTCGTAGAATCAAGGCCACGAACGGGAAGGCTTTCGCTGTTCTACAAGGAATGCCTTCGTTGCCGAACTCGGGAACGCCGAAAAGGCGACAAAGGACCACTTCGATAGCGACGACGGCGACGACGACACAACGACGGGGTGCGGATTGAGTGTCTGTGTGTGTGCGCGCGTGCGTGTGGATTTCACTGTGGGGCAATGATGGGGGGCGGCCAAGAGTGGGGTGGTGACTAGGGGGGGGTGGATATCATGGCGGGGGCCATGATATCTCCCCAGATTTCATGGCGCCACTTCTTACTTCAATACGTCCCCGCCCCCCCCCCCCTGGGCCGCGCACATGCCGCCGGCCATGATCTGTGCCCCCCCTCTTGGACGCCCCCCTCTTGACCGCCCCCGAAATGACCCCTTCCAGAGTTCACTGCCCCCTCTTTTCTATCAGTACTCAGGAGGGAAAGAAACACACAGACACAATTCATCGTCGACCCCCAGGAAAGTATGGGAACAGATGGGAAGTGGGGGGAAGACGAGCACCCAGAAAATAGGAGACAAATATGAGGGATCCGGGGATCTGTGTGTAGTTTTTTCTTGTTGTGTGTGTGCGTGTGTGTGTGTGTGTCTCTGTGTGTGTGTGTGTGTGCGTGTGTGTGTGTGTGTGTGTGCGTGTGTGTGTGTGTGTGTGTGTGTGTGTGTGTGTGTGTGCGTCCCCGGGCCCCTTCAAATGCGCCCCCTGGCCCCCCCTGGTCCGCGTGCACAGGCCTCGGACCAGGACGCGCTGCCCTCCCTTCTCCTGGCCGCCCCCCCCAGGAGGAGGTGGTGGAGGAGGAGGAGGAGGAGGGTTTACCTTCCCCCATACTTCGCGACGCCCAGATGTCCAGGGAACGATGTCCATGGAAGCGCGTGTGTCGGGCGGGGCCTGCCCAGGGGGAGTGGGAGGAGGAGGAGGAGGAGGAGGAGGAGGATTTCGGCGCACAGGACAGGAGACCGCAGTTGGTCGTCGTCGTCGTCGCTTACGTCCTCGTTCTTGTCCTCGTCCTCGCTTCCTCTACTGTGGGGCCTGTCCTCCGGCAGGGGCTCGCCACGCTGTGAGCTAAGGGCCCGGGGGCTCGCGGCCCGCTCGGTGCCTGTGCCGCGGAGCCCTTCGTCGCCGCACGCACTAACCTCGTTTTTTTTTGTCCGTGGGCATCGACCGCGGTGCCAAAGACAGCACTGAGGTGCCGTGGACAGGCCAGGAGGTGCCTCTCCTAAGAAGCATGCACCCAAAGGCTGCAGGGCCCGAAGGGGGGTCCTGCAGACAAAGACCTGGTTCTCGCTAGCCCTGAGGCCCTTAAGCCTGACCTGATGCCCCACAGCTCAACCTGAGGCGCCCCAACAGTCGTCGAAGTCACCCTTCCTGAACCATGCCTCGTCGACGTTCCCGAAAGCCCTGCCCCTCCCCCCGCCCCGCACCGCCTCGCGTCGTAACACAAACTCCCGACGAACTTTTTTGGGGGAAACATCTCCGGGCCGTCAGAGATCTTTGTTAAGCATGGACAGCAGACCCAGAGGAAATGGGACGAGACGTCCTGGGGTCCGTCCGGTGTGTCATGGTGACCTTCGGCTGGAGGTACCTTCCGTCGCCGCCTGAGCGAAGCGACCATTCGGCTCGGGGTGCCCTTCGTCGTGCTGCTCTTCGCCGCTCCCCCCATTCCCCCATTGCCCACCCCTTCTGCGCCCATTCGGTGTCTGAGCCCATTGAATAACCAGCGGAGAGGGGCCAGGAACCTAGCCGATTCGGCATTGGGCAGCCGAGTGGGCTCGATGCGCCCTGGCACCGCCCGACCAGTCCGTTGCAGAGCGGAGCGCTGGATGTGAGCTCGGCGGGGAACCCTGGACAGGCCCCGCCCGACGCACGCGTTTCGGTGGAAATCGTTCCCTGGAGATCTGAGCGTCGCGAACAAGGGGGGGAGGTAAATCCTCCTCCTCCTCTTCCTCCTCCTCCTCCTCGTCCTCCTCCCCCTCCTCCTCCTCCTCCTCCTCCTCCGTTGCCATGTTGGCTCAAGTGGTGACAGGCCCCATTGAGTGTGGCAGCTCTCTGCAAAGAGCCACCTCGAACCCGAATTCGAGCGGACACCCTTCTCCCTGGCGGCGAGCTCACGCCCAAGCGGCCGTCAAATTTGCTTCTTCTTCCTCCGGATTTGGCGGGTGTCGCGGGCTCTCACCACGGACGAGAATCTCGACATGATGATGTCCCGTTTGGACGGCATGGGCAGCACGCTGGAGGGAGCCGCAGCCATTGTCAAATAGGTCGATCGCCTTGCAGACACTGTGGACAAGCATGGCAAACTCTTTCGAGACCATCCAAGCCGACCTAGCCGCGCCGCAGAGGAAACCCAATGAGGGCTACAGCGAGAGCAGTGCAGGATGCAGTGCCTGTATTTTTTTGGTAATCAGTGGCGAGACAGGCGGGGAACGTGCCAGACGTGCCCATTCAGCCCCTCCTGAACGTGAGCGACCGAATGATGCATGCAAAGTCTGGATTGGAGGATTTCCCCGGAAGTTTCTAGGCAAGCAGTTCGAGGCGCACTGGAACAGTGCCAAGACCCTCAGCAGTTCTGCCTTCGCTGAGGCTGCAACCCCGGAGCTCCATAACCTCCCGTATGCGTGCTCCGTTGTTTGTCAGTCCGCCAAGCAGGCCAAGTATTTCATCGCCCTCACCCGCTTCAACGATGCCAAGACGACTTGGCAAGAATCCGCGCAATGGCAAAACGGAGTTGCTTCGAGCGCGTCTCGATCAGACCATGGATGTGCGCCAGAAGCAGAAGGTTCTCGGCAAGCTCTGGACGCCGGTTCTCAAGGAGGTCAAAAAGTACGCCTGGTGGAGTGAGGGCTGCAGGCTTGGCACCGACGACCCGGGAGGCATCCTTTTCGTCACCTCCACGGACGACGTCTGGGAATGTTTCGCCTTGCAGGGAGGCCCTGGCGAGACGTTCGGCGTCAGCCCGAACGAGGCCAACCTGACCGTGTGGGGCATCGGCATCGGGAAGGCCACCGATATCATCACCGCCGCCACGAGCGCCTAGGACGGGTGCCAGCTGTCCTGCAGTGAGCGCCAAGTCGAGCGCAGCCGCAGTCACATGTGTCGTTTTTGCGCCGACAGTGGTCGGCCGCGCGCCCGACCAAGCTTGGTCGACCTTTTGCCTGGCCAGCAGCCCTCCCCCCTCAGAAGCGCAGGAAGCTGTCAGGAAACCCTGGCGTCTGTTGGGCAGGCAGTCCGTTTTCTAGCAGCTCTTCGTCGTCCTCCTCCTCCTCTTCCTCCTCCTCCTCCTCCAGTTATGAGTCACCTCCTGATGTTCGGAAGTTCTATCGCGCGTGCTCTTTCTCTCGTCCTCTGTTAGCGCCTGCACCTGGAGTGCCCGTGCTCTGCGTGGCGCCGCCCCGGGAAACCATATTTTTCCAGAAGCGAAAGCAAAGCAAACTTCGCTACTCAGCCGAAAGACATGCCATCCTGTTCTTGCAGGAAGCACATGGGGGCATTGGTGATGATGAGACTATGCGTCGCCTTTCCCCTCGGCATCGTGCGTTCGCCACCCGTTATTCGAATTCATCGGCAGGGGGGTGTGCCATTTTGATGCACAAGCAGTTTCTCTATACGTTTTAGTGCACCAGGCGTCAGGCTCATCAAGAAGGCAGATGCCATGGGACCCCTTCTCTCTGGGCCTCAAGGGTGCGTGCAAGGCAGCAAGATTCATATGTATCCAGTAATGACTGTTCAGCAACAGCGCGCCGTTCTCTCTAGTGCTGCGTAGGTGCTCCGAGCCCCCAGGCTTTCTCTCTTTTTTTCTCGTGGGGTGGCGGCTTCGACTTCTACGCGCCTGGCGAGTTTAGGCAGTGTCTCGACGGCCGAGCTCGCGCAGGCAACTCCTCCAGTTCCTACCACCTCGTCACGTTCTTTCAGAACAGAACCCCTCAGCGTATCGAAGTGGAGCAGGAGTGGCCCACGCAAGTGCGCAACAGGAACGGGATTCCGGAATGTGTTGCTCGTCTCGATCGTCTCTGCACCAACCTCTACATCTCCGCCCTGCTCGATCTCCATCCGACCGCTGGTGCGCATGGCAATGCTTTTAGCGCCTCCAACGTAAGCGAACACACCCTCAGCCTCCATCCTGGTTCTGGTGGGCGAGCAAGTATAACGAAGCTGGGTTGCAATGGATTGGGGTTGTCGTTAGCACGTTGAAAGAAAAATGGGCCTGGTGGACCTTGCGGGCGGCCGCGTGGACCGCCTCCCTGAGCTAAAGTCGGTCGCTTTTGCCGCCAAGCAAGCAGTGCTGGATGAACTTGCCGAAGCGTATCCTGACACCCTCATTCAGAAGAGCTCCTGGATGCTGGCAGCCCAGAGGGCTGTGTCTCGTTTGGACCGCGCGACCGTGAAAAAAAAGCCGGTCGCGGGTTTCCCGACCCATGTGAATGCATTGACGTTGACGTTGGCAAGTCCTTTGGCTTTGATCGTGTTCGCTCCGTCATGGACGAGCTGAATGTTCAGCGCACTGCCGGCCTCATGCGCGACAGTGAGGCAAGCGACCTTCCGCGGGCCACGAGGTCAGCCCGCGCTGGCGCGCTGTGACGGAGGCAGGCTGGCTGGTCTCCAAAGCACTGGAAGCTAGGACTTGCCCAGATTCGAGAGCTTCGTGGGCGTCCGATTGCAGATCCTTGTGAAGGGGCGCGGGCTCCCAGGGGCCACTTGGCCAAGGTTTGCGAGAGCGAGGAGGTGCGTCCTGAGGCCTCCCTGGGGCGCGTTCAATTCGCCCAGCCCACCACCCCCAACCTTGTCTGCATCATGTGCGACGATATGTAGGTGGAGCTTCTGGAAAGGAAGAAGGACTCGCTCGTTGGCTCTGGTGGCCCCCCGTGCTCTGCATGGGCTCGCGG